GAGGAGGAGGAGGAGGAGGAGGAGGAGGAGGAGGAGGTGGAGGTGGAGGTGGAGGTGGAGGTGGAGGTGGAGGAGGTGGAGGGAGGTGGAGGTGGAGGTGGAGGGAGGTGGAGGAGGAGGTGGTGGTGGTGGTGGAGAGGAGGTGGAGGAGGAGGAGGAGGAGAAAAAGAAGAAGAAGAACAAGAACAAGAACAAGAACAAGAACAAAAAGAACAAGAACAAGAACAAGAGAAAGAAACAGTAGAAGAAGGAGGAGGAGAGAGAGAGGCGGTGGAGGAGGAGGAGAGAAGAAGGAAGCGGTGGTGGAGGAGGAGGAGAAGCAGCTACGCGAGAGAGACGGAAAGTGAAGAGAAGCAAGAAAAAGAGGAAGGGAAGAAAGAAGGAAAAGAGGAACTGAGAGTATTGCCTTGAGAGGTTCAACCCGGAAGGTCCGCAGCGTCTGGCATTATAGGTGTATTGACGAGCTCAGAGACTCAATGTGGCACTTGGAGCCCTTGTGAGATGGGGGGAGGGTGGGTGATGGGCAGGTGAGGGGAAGGAGGGGGAGGATGGGTGATGGCAGTGAGGGGAGGGGTGATGGGCAGGTGAGGGGAGGGATGGGGGGAGGTAGTGGGGCGGTTGAGGGAGGGAGGGGGGGGGTGGCATGGGTGAGGGCAGTGAGGGGAGGGATGGGGAAGGCAAGGGGGAGGGAGGGGAGAGGGTGATGGGGATGGGGTGATGGGCAGGTGAGGGTGAGGGATGGGTGATGGGCAGGTGAGGGGAGGCGGTGGGTGATGGCAGTTGGGTGAGGGAGGGAGGGGGGGGTGGCAGCGTTGAGTGGGAGGGAGTGGGAGGGGTGGGTGTGGGCAGAGGGGGAGGGATTGGGTGATGGGCAGGTGAAGGGAGGATGGCAGGTGAAGGGAGGGATGCGGTGATGGCAGGTGAGGGGAGGAGGGGAGAGGGGTAGGTGATGGCGGTTGAGGGGAGGGAGGGAGGGATGGGTGATGGCAGGTGAGGGGGAGGAGGCGGGAGGGGTGGGTGAATGGGCAGGTGAGGGGAGGGAGGGGGAGGGTGTGGGTATGGGCAGGGAGGGCGGGTGGGGAGGTGGTGCTTGGACGGTTGAGGGGAGGGCAGGGGGAGGGCGTTGGGTGATGGGCAGGTGAGGGGAGGGATGGCAAGGGTAGGTGCTTGGCGGTAGAGGGGAGGAGGGGGAGGGTAGGTGATTGGCGGTTGAGGGGAGGGAGGGGGAGGGGTGAGGGATGGGCAGGTGAGGGGGATGGTTGATGGGCACGGTGAGGGAGGGGTGGGTGTATGGGCAGGTGAGGGGAGGGAGGGGGAGGGTAGGTGATTGGCGGTTTGAGGGGAGGGAGGGGAGGGGTGGGTGATGCGGCAGTGAAAGGGAGGCGATGGAGTGATTGGGCAGGTGAAGGAGGGAATGGGTCTGAATGCGGCAGGTGAGGGGGAGGGGTAGGTGAATGGGCGGTGAGGGCGAGGGAGGGGAGTACATGGGGTGCCATGAGCAGGTGAGGCGGCAGGTAGGGAGGGTGGGGTGATGGGCAGGTGAGGCGAGGGAGGAGGGGTGCGTGAATGGGCAAGGTGAGGGGAGGGATGGGGAGGGGTAGAGTGCTTGGCGGTTTGAGGGGGAGGGAGGGGGAGGGGTGGGTGTATAGGGCAGGTGAGGGAGGGCATGGGGAAGGCTAGGTGCATTTGGCGGTTGAGGGGAGCGAGAGGGGGAAGGCGTAGGTGATTGGCGTTGAGGGGAGGGAGGGAGGGGTGGGTGTATCGGCAGGGTGAGGTGGGAGGGACATGGCGTGATGGGGCAGTGAGGGGTATACGGGGTGAGTGTGATGGGCAGGTGAGGGGAGGGAGGGGGAGCGGTAGGTGTTGGCGGTTGAGGGGAGGGAGGGGTGAGGGTGTGGGTGATGCGGCAGGTGAAGGGAGGCGATGGGTGTGGGCAGTGAAGGGAGGGATGGGTTGATGGGCAGCGTGAGGGGAAAGGAGGGGAGGGGTAGGTGATGGGCGGTTGAGGGGAGGAGGGGGAGGGATGGGTGATGAGCAGAGTGAGGGAGGGAGGGGAGGGGTGGGTGATGGGCAAGGTGAGGGGAGGCGAGGGGAGGGTGGTGATGGGCAGGTGAGGGGAGGGAGGGGGAGCGGGTAGGTGATTGGCGGTTGAGTGGAGGGAGGGGGAGGGTATGGGTGTGAGCAGGTGAGGGGAGGGGAGGGGAAGGAGTCGATTGGGCAGTGTGAGGGGAGGGAGGTGGGTGATGGGCAGAGTGAGGGAGTGAGGGAAGGGTAGGTGTTTGGCGGTTTGAGTTGAGGGGAGGGAGGCGGGAGGGGTGGGTGAATTGGGAGGGAAGGGGAGGCGTGGGTGGATGGGCAGGTGAAGGGGAGGAGATTGGTGATGGGCAGCTGAAAGGAGGGATGTGATGGGGCAGGTGAGGGGAAGGAGGGGTGAGGGGTAGGTGATATGGCGGTTGCAGGGGAGGGAGGGGAGGGATGGGATGATGAGAGTTGTGGACGGGTGCAGGAGGGGGAGGGGTGGGTGATGGGCAGGTGCAGGGGAGGGAGGGGGAGGGGGGCCGGGTGTATGGGCACGCGATGAGGGAGGGGTAGGGGGCGAGGTAGGTGATTGGCGGCTTGAGTGGAGGGAGGGTGAGGATGGGTGATGAGCAGGTGAGAGGACGAGGAGGGAAGGGTAGGGAATGGGCAGGTGAGGGGAGGGAGGGGTGGGTGATGGCAGGTTAGGGGAGGGAGGGCGGAAGGGTTAGGTGTTTTGCGCGGGAGGAGGAGGGAGGGAGGGTGGGTGATGGGAGGGAGGGGGAAGGGTGGTGATGGGCAGCGTGGGGGAGGTGAGGGGAAGGGTAGGTGTTTGCGGTTGAGGGGAGGGAGGGGAGGGGTGGGTGATGGGCAGGTGAGGGGAGGGCAGGTCGGGAAGGGTAGGTGTTTGGGACGGTTGAGGGGAGGAGGGGGAGGGTAGTGGCGTGATGCGCACGTGAAGGGAGGGCAGGGGGAGGGGTAGGGTGGATACATAAGGGAGGAGGGGAGGGGCTGATGGGCACGGTGAGGGAGGGAGGAGGGGCGAGGGCATGGGTGATGGGCAGGTGAGGAGGAGAGGGGAAAGGGTAGCGAGATTGGCGGTTGAGGGGAGGGATGGTGAATGAGCAGGTGAGGGGCAGTGAGGGGTGAGGGTGGGTTGATGGCAGGTCGAGGGGAAGGGAGGGGTAAAGGGTAGGAGATTGGCGGTTGAGGGGGAGGGATGGGTGATGGCAGGTGGAGGGGAAGGTAGGGGGAGGGTGGGAGCGGGGGGTGTTGGGCATGTGAGGGAAGGGAGGGTGCATTGGCGAGTTGAGGGTGAGGGAGGGGGAGGGGTGATGATGGGAGGGATGCGCGCTGATTGGGCAGGTGAGGGGGGATGGGTGATGGGCAGTGAGTAGGGAGGGAGGGTGGATGGGGTTAGGTGAGGGGCAGGGGGAGATGGCAGTGAGCGGGAGGAGGTGGAGGAGTGTGGGTGATGGGCAGATGAGGGAGGAGGGTGCATGGCAGGTTGAAGGCGAGGGACGGATGATGAGGGCATGTGAGGAGGGAAAGGTGGTATGGGCAGCGTGAACGGAGGGAGAGAACAGAGGATGATGGGGTAAGTGAGGGAGGGAAGGTGAAAGGTGGGTGGATGTCAGAGTTGAGGGTGAGGTTGTGGGTGATGGGCCGGTGAGGGCTGAGGGATAGGGTCATGCGCAGCGTGCAGTGGTGAGGTGGGTGATGGGCAGGTGAGTGAAGGGTGGGTGAGGTTGAGGGTGTATTAGTAGCGTGATGGGGCAGGTTAAGGGTGAGGGTGGGTGATGGGAGCTGTGAGTGGTGTAGGGATGGTGTGATGGTCAGGGTAGGTGAGGGGTGGGTGATGGGCAGCGTAAGGGCTGAGGGGCTGCGGTGATGCGGCAGGTGAGGTAGAGGGGTGTAATGGGATGGGCAGGTGAGGGTGAGGGGTGGGTGATGGGCAGGTGAGGGTGAGGGGTGGCGTGTATGGGCAGGTGAGGGTTGAGGGATGTCGTGATGGTCAGGTGAGGGTGAGGGTATGGTGATGGGCAATGGTAAAGGGTGTAGAGGGGTTTAGGTGATGCTCAGCGTGAGGGTGAGGGCGTGGGTCATGGGCAGCGTGAGTAGTGAGGGATGAGGTGATGCGCAGGTGAGGGTGAGGGATGGGTGATTGGGCAGGTAAGGGAGAGCGGTGGGTGATGGGCAGTGTGAGGGTGAGGGGTAGGTGATGCGTCAGGTGAGGGAGGGGTGGGTCTATTGGATAGGCAGGTGAGGGCGAGGGATGGGTGAATGGGCAGTGTGGGGTGAGGGACATGGGTGTCGGGCAGGTAATGGGTGAGGGGGTGGGTATGGGCAGGTGAGGGTGAGGGTGTGGGTGGGTGGGCAGGTGAGGGTGAAGGATAAGGTGCAATGGGCAGGTGAGGGTGATGGATAGGCTGTGTGATGGGCAGGTGAGGCGTGAGGGGATGGGTGATGGGCTAGGTGAGGGTGCAGGGATGGTGATGGGCGGGTAGGGTGAGGGGGTGGTGATGGGCAGGTGAGGGTGAGGGGTAGGTGATGGTCAGGTGAGGGTGAGGGGTAGTGATGTAACAGGAAGGTGAGGGGTGGAGTCCATGGGCAGCGCGTGAGGACGGTGAGGGTATTGGTGATGGGCAGGTGCAGGGTGAGGGTGTGGTGATGCGGCAGTTGAGAGTGAGGGTGGGTCGATTGGGCAGGTGCAGGGTGCAGGGGTAGGTGATGGTCAGGTGAGGCGTTGAGGGGGGGTGAATGGGCAGGTGAGGAGTGAGATTTGGTGATGGGCAGGTTGAGGGTGAGGGGTAGTGTGATGGGCAGGTGAGGGTGAAGGGAGGGTGAATGCGGCAGGTGAGGGTGAGGGGATGGGTGATGGGCAGGTCAGGGTGAGGGTAGGTGAATGCGCAGAGTGAGGGTGATGGGTAGGTGAGGGCAGGTTTTGCCCGTCTAAGTTTTCAGAAAGTCCTACAACAGCCAAT